TTTGGAACTCTCGTGAAATGAGCAACCCACATCTAAAAACCGGAATTATCTACTTCACCTAAGAAAATCAGGAATATTCGAATCAGCCATCATGCGGGCAGATAAGGAAAAATCTGTTTGGCAACATGCATATCGTCGTGGGATAGAAGATCATGCTTCATTACTGTTATGTACATGAAGGCGTCTGTGGTCTTTGATCCATAACCGAACTATTATCTTACAGTGCTTTGCATCGTAAGTCGGCCTACGGTAGTTTTTTTTAGATTATTTCTCCTGCAATAGTTTTTCGTTATTTCTTGGTCATACTTGGGGGTTTACTAAGGGGATGCATAGTCTACCTAATGACATAATAAAATTGATAAATCATCATATTAACTTTACAAAAAAATACAATAAAGATAGACGAAAAAATCAAGTTTAACATGAGTTTTTTCAGCTTAAAAACTTATTTGTTTAATAAATATAATTCCCTTTTCTGAAAGAAAGGGTTATATCACGTTTGAATCATGGGCCTAAAATTGCTTAAATTTTGTCTGTCTGTCTGTCTGTCCGACCAAGCGAATCAGAATTCAGCATTCGCTAAATCAATGAAAACTCACTAATAGGTTTTTGGGGTCGAGGAATTCAATTCTGTTATCAGTTTTTTAAAATGTTTCAAAACTAATTTTTTTACACAAAGAACCATTTTTTTACAATAAAATCTTTCTTTATAAAGTTTGATCAATGGCAATCGGGGTCGGGGAATCAGAATATGAGGTCAGATTTTTAGAACTTTTTTATCTCTCCTTTTTTTATACAAAGAAAAGGTTTTTTTGGAAATTTTATTGTTGGACTCGGTAGGTGTGGGTATTCACTTGTTAAACATGTGTTTAAAAACTATTATTGGCAGATTCAGAAAAATTGGGTTCAAACGGGACCAGGACGGGCACTACTTTTAATATGCGAGAACGAGATCGAGATAAAGAAACCCTATCCCGCCGGCCCCTAGTTGATAACTATAATCGGATTTTCCGATGATATTTAAACAAATAATTTTAAAAAAAGAACAGTTGTTTGAAATCCTACTGTACAATGGTCGTAGATTTTAACTGTATAATAATATTCGAAGTAGATGAAGATCTTTCCTATGGGACAATGTAATGTACTCTATTCGTAACACCTTACACATAGTTGTTCTTTTCTGAGTTTCTTCTTGAGAATCATAGTATCAAATACTCAGCATCTTTCTGAGAGAAATTCACACGAAATGCACCTTTTTACTGCAAAGCTGAAGTAATAGTGGAAGAAATAGTATAGTTAAACACAAAAACGACTAGCCGTGAGTGGCCGACCGGAGGGAGGCCGACGAACGACTAGACGTTAATTTCAGAAGATTGTCTTGAAAAACAATTTTGAAATGAGTCTTAGTTGGTTGAAATGCTTTTTTGAAAACACTTAATAAATGCTAATTCGAGAAAGAATCCGGCAGTATATCGTTGTGTCAAAATAAAAAGAAATTGGAAACCATGATGAACAATACATAGTGCTATCTAAATGTTGGAAATTTTCGATTGCGAATCGATACGTTATGAGTGAAATAGTTTCGGTGCACGTGAAAAACCTTAATGTAGCAGTTGATATACAGAAAAATATACTACATATGGTAACGGCTAGCCGTGAGTGGCCGACCGACTAAGCGTTGATTTAAATGGTTTATTCTAAGTATAGTAAGTGAGACTTGAGGTTTTTTGCGAAACTGTTAAGTGATTCGATTCTTGAGCTAAAAAGAAATCTTATTTACACATTTGACCTAGCAAGACCTATTCAATGAAGGACTTGTGAATGCAAACATAGCATTATTTGCTTGTTGTGGCGTGAGTAGGAATAGATATGCAGTTGTACGACCCTAAAAGGTTTTAGGAGTTGTCCGGGATTGTGTCATTTTAAATGAACTATTTTTTTTCGTATAATCATGGTTCGGGGTGAGCCGAAACATATAGCAGTTTGGTTATGCTATTAAACTTGCTGAATACACTTTGGAAAGAGGATCAAATTTTTCATAACATCAATTTTCCTGATTGTTCGGGTATAGTAAGGTTGCTTTACTAAGATTATTTTTAAAGTGTAAAAATTCTCGAATATGCGACGTCACAACTTCTTCAACTGTTTGAATTAGGTCAGTTTTTCAAAAAATGAGATATAGGGCTGCGAGTGATCATTTATTCCTCAAATTAAAAATGAACCATGTTCGATTAAGATTTTACGATGAGTAGAACCTGTCCAAGTTCCCTTTGGTAACATGTATTCAAAATCGAAATCATTTTTAATAATAATTATAGAAAATTTTCTTTCAGGAAAGGGTCAACGAATCCATCCGATGAGCGTTACTTGTAACTAATTTACGATAGAAAATGACATCCACAGTGAGTTTCGGTTTGTGTTAGATCGACATCCTCTAACGTGATATTAAATATCACCAACAGAGCAGTTAAATTGTCACGCTAAGATGATTGAATACTCTGATGTGACCATTTTAATTTATCTATCCATTATGTTAATTTAGCACTAAATCTGAACGCCGTTTGTCTACGTGCAGCTTGTTCATGTCTTTGACATAACTTAAATCAATGCTGCTGATTACTTTCGTTTTCTACCAGCATCTAGTCGAAAACCGTTGTGATCAAGATTATCACGATTGTCAAGATCAATGTTCATTTTTTTTTTATAAATAAGTAAATAAGTAAATAAGAGAGATTACGTGGAACGCTATTGATCAATGATAGCTAGCCTGTGGAAGCGTACAGCAGACAGACGAAGCTGCAAAAATTCCTTATCAGTAATCAGTAATCAGTAAGAATCAAGATAAGAAAAGAGACAGGTTTACAGAGAATAAATAATTGTTTATATATAAGAGCAGCGACGGTGTTCGAAACTAGGGCTAATTGTAGCTAGCGGGTCCTTCTGTATGATCATATAGATATTATACAATTAATATTTTTTAATGCTTAGAGAAAATGAGAAAGAGTAAAACGTATCAAAACTGAAAAAAATCAAGTTTTTAGGCCGAGTTACGATGCAAAGCACTGTAGCTAGTAATATAAAAAATTGTTTGAAATCCATTAATTTTCAAAATAGAGACAATACGGTCTGGATTTAAACTCTTTTAAAACCAAGTTGGTTCGGTTCAATGTGAGCTGATCGTACACACATAATTTAGTGATAGATCCAAGCTTTTTAAGAAAATATTCTTCTACATACTTATACCGAAAACATCTTGCTCGTATAGAATAGAAGTATGAATATACTGCGGAACCCAGACCTCTCAGAACGTTTTGGTTTAAAAATAGTAAAAACTTTAAAAAACGATGCACTTTTTTAAAATTTTCTCGATGAAAAACTAACATTTGGGTGTAATATTGCTTGTTGAGGGTTGTGGCAATTAATCGAACATCTTTATCAACTAGAATCCGATAAAATCCTTTATTCGATGTCAAATTCAATTATATTATCAACCTTAACGAATCTATACGTAACAGATCTCCTCGTTTACTTGGTTACTGACTCCGCTAAATAAGTTTTTCATTTTCTGAGACTTGTATCGTTATCCGCTGTTTTTCTCACATTGAGCACGATTTCGAAACGATTTAAAACAGTCTTTTGAAAATACGTTTGCATATCTCATTCATCGTCAGAATTTATTCTCACCACTGAAAAAGCAATACAACCCTGTATCAGAAATACTCATTTAGATAGCTAATGAGAATTGGTATTCATATCAAGACATAAGTTACCGTTCAAAAAATTCCTATGCTCTTTGTGAACCTTCACGAAGAGATTCGTTTCGATCGATAATACAATTCCATCTTACATGAAACCAAAGATCTCATGACGTTCTATTTGACGCAATTATTCTGTTCGTTAGAATATTTTATACAATAATTATTTAGCCAAAATGTGAGCCCAAATGCTCTATTTTACTAGTCATTTTTAAGATAGAGAATTATTTGCTCATAAAAACCTGTGAGTATGATACATTGCAACCCATGTAAAAAAAATTGATGAAAATCATGATTTTTATGAGGAATCCGATGAGAAATAGATTTCAATGGCACGATTTGTATAGTTTGGTAATCGATTAAGTTGAAATAATTAATTTAAATCGAGTAAATTGTAGTATAAAGTTGATCAAAATCGACTATTTTTCACGAAAAATTGAATACCATTGAATTTTAATCGATTATATGCAACAATTTACTCGGTTTAAATTAATTATTTCGACTTAATCGACTACCAAGCTACGAAAATCGTGGCATTTAAATCGATTTCTCATGGGATTTTTTCATAAAAAACATCATTTTCACCGCTTTTTTACATGGGTAACAGCTCTTAGTGACTTCCATAATTGAAGATCTTTCTTTCAGCTGGTACACTTCTTCAAAACCTTTGGTGGTCATCACGTGAGTCTCCATTAGCTGTTCATTAGTCATTTTTCAGCTAAAAGACTCATGACAATCAACCACATTGAATTTGATATTGAAAGAAGCGCGTCACATAATTCCATCTCGCATGATTATTACAATAAACATTTTAGCTTAAACATGGATTCTTTCGATGAAAATAACCTTATATAGTGATTTCTTCCATTTAGCGTTCCACATAGTAAAAGGTTTTGAAACTTATGCATTCCAAGCTCTATTTTCGTCATATCTGATCCAATGTTAATTTTCGTGAGCTCATTTTTTAACTAATGCTTTTCTTTTAAATCTGCATCTTCCACGAATTTTACCAACGCCATATAACTTCTGCAGAATCGATACTGTAATCTTTCAAGACGGTATTAAATACATAAAAAAACTGAATATCTAATATCCATCTTCTTCGACGCATCGAAAGCGAAATATATATGGACATGTCTTATATACATCTCTGCAAAATTTTGAAAATTATACAGGGAAAGTAAATATCTGATATCTGCTTTCTGCTCATATTTTTGAAATTATAGCTACTATATGAGACTTCATATGTTAAATTCAAAAATTTTGAAATTTCATATTGAAAGTAAATATCTGATTTCTCCTGGGATTTCTGAATAAAACAGATATGTATGTGTCTTGTATGGACACCATAGTCAAAATTTGAAAATTGTATAAAGAAGTAAATATCTGATATCTGATTTCTGCTGAGCTTTTTAAAACTATA